CTGTGCAGTAGTGGGACCCATGTCCCTTCCCCTCGAACTGTATGGATCTGATGACAGCCTTGACTAACAGAGTAGAGCAGAAGTGACACTGTGTCTGCTAAGCAGGTCATAATAATGTCCTGCATTTTCACCATGCTGCCCCGAGACACTCCCTCTTGGGACGACCACCATGCTATGAGGGAGCTCAAGCAGCCTGTGACAGGAGGGCACATGAGGCACCCATCACCCAGGCGACAGCCAGAAAGAGAGGAAGCCATCCCACAGGTGCTACCCGGAGCAGAGATGGGCACCGAGTCCCACCCAGAGCACTTCTGTGAGCTAAAGAAGCCACTGTTCTTGTTTGATACCAGTAACACTGAGGTGGTTTATTATGTAGCAAGAAGTAACTGGAGTGTGGTCCATAGAAACAAGGGTGATGTTCAAGTAATCTTTTACCTCTGTATTTAAAGGAAGCCATGGTATTAATTTGCATGGGAGAAAGAAGAGAGGGAGAGGGGGAAGGAAGGAAGGAAAGAAGGAAGGGAGGGAGGGAGGAGAAAGAGGGAGAGGAAATATTAGTTTTTATTTTTAAAAATACTGGATGTGGGGCTGGGGATTTAGATCAGTGGTTTCGCTGCCTGCTGCACAAGCATAAGGACCCGAGTTCGATCCCCGGTACCAAAAAAAAAAAAAAAATACTGGATGTGACTGTATTCATTAGCTTGGGCTGCTGTAACAACGTGGATGGCTCAAACAGCAGATATGTATTGTCTCATCATCTGGAGGATAGAAATTCAAGGTCAAGGGGCCAGGCCTCCTTACTGTCCCTGAGGAGAGGGCCTGGAGCCTGACTGCCAGGACAGGACTCTGAGAACTGCTGTCCACCTTGGAGACAAGGGGACACTTGGCATGTGTGGCTCTGGCCCAGCTCCCCATAGATGGCTCCGTAACAACTTCCTCAGGCCAGCAACACTGCTGCAGGAACGGGTCCACCATCCGGGTCTCTTGTGTCACGTTCTCATTCAAAGAACAGCACACCAAGACCCAGCCCTGAGATTATGGGGAAAAGTAATATTTAAAGGCACTTATTAAAGATACTCAGAAGGCTGTTCGAATGTCAAACAGCTGTGTGCAGTCCCTAATTTGATGATCTACGTGTTAATGAATCCCAGACACGCAGATTAAATTCTCTTTAAACTGCATGTGGTTTTAAAATGTATTTTCTCTCCAGCATGTCTGATTCAGAACAAGGTTAGCAAACACCTGCGAAGCAGGTCCACTGCTCTGGGGTCGGAGCTGGCGCTGGTCAGGCTGAGCTTACAGGCAGGATACAAAAAGGACACATGGAGAGAAATGGCAGCAGTGATGCAGTGGGGACCACCAGAGGCCACGAGGGCAGCTTGCCTTGGGGAGGGGCCCTTTCACTTAGGTCCTTACATTCAGGTGCAGAGAACATTAACAGAGGAAGATTGCTAATGACAGTAGCATCGGAGTATAAGGATGGCTGCTGAGGCAGGAAACGGCCATATGATTATGAGGTTGGAGGTGGAAGAAACCGGGGAAAGGAGGTTGTTGGAGAAAAGAGGAGAGGCTGGAGAAATAGCATGTGCAAAGGCCCTGCAGGGAACAGACCTGGCCCGTGCAAGACCCAGAGAGAGCCAGGAGGTGGCAGGTGGTGGACACATGCAGTGGAGGACTCCACAACAGGAAGTAATTGTCCTGCAAATCTCCAGAGAGATACATCTGGAAATACGGCCAGGACCAAGGCAAGAGCAGAAAAAGTGATCACACTCACCCCACTGGGAAATTACAAATCCATGGGCACGTACGGCCCCCTCTATACCCGATCCCAAGTGGGGGTATGCAAGAGTCCCCTCTGAGAAGCCCTCGGGCAGGCAGCACATGGCCCCCAGCCCCTTTAGTCAGCCTGGTCCCCTGCAGTACAATGTTTGCTGAAATTCACAGTGGGCACCCAGGGAGCAGTGGGAGCCTTTGGCCAGAAAAACGGACCTTAAACATCTGGATGCCTGGGAGGGCTGGTGTCAGGATGGGGACAAGAATGCCCAAGCCCGTGGCCACACGTGACTTTAGCGTGTCAGCTTACTGGCCTGCCCTTCTGGTGCCCGTGACCTTGGTTCAAGGGGAAGAGAGTGGGCCTTGGTGTGGGCCTAGTCTCACCCTGTTCAGCAGCGTTCATTGAGTACTGAGAAAGAATGGGCGGGTGAATGAATGAGAGGTGAATGAATGAGGGACTGAATGAATGAGGGAGGGTGGACACTGGCCCTTCATTGGCTTCAGGACGCCCCTGCCACCCCCGTCCATGTGGGAGCTGGGCCCTGCCATCACTTTCACCTCCTGCACGTGCCTGGGACTGCGGACCCCAGCCAGCTGACAGTGACAACTTGACAGATGAGGAGCTCTGAGCAAGAGGAGATGCGGGGAGGATATGTGCGCTTCCCTGTCGTCCTCCATCTATTTTTATTTCTCTGTAAATCTTGAAAGGCAAGGGTTCCAGCAAGCTGCTCCTGTGCTGATAGAGACTGGCAGTGCCCTGAGTCACTTCTCAGTGTCCCTGCTCTCAGTCCCAGGCCCAGGGGCAGGCATCAGGGCTCTATGGGAAGGAGGAAACTGCCCCAACCCAGACTGCAGCCCCTCTGAGAAGGGCTGCGCTCCAGCTGGGGGTGCAGGGGCCCAGAGGAGGGAGAGAGCTTTGGATGGGAAGGAGCCCCAGGCTGCAGACAGGAGGGCACGTTGGTCATTGACTGGCCACATGACCTCAGCAGCCCTCCCAGGGCCTGGGTCTCCTCAACCATAAAATAGGTGGGACCACCCCAGCTCCCCTGACACGAGGACACAGAAAGGGTGCAGGAACCAGTGGCCAGATGTTTAATCAATGTGTGCCACACGATACCCCCAGGTGGGACTGCTCCAGGGTTCCTGTGAGGACCTCAGCCCCTCTGCTCCCTGGCCTCCTGTGTCCCCCCAGGGCCCCTAATATGCCAAGGGCAGGCTGGCCAGATCTGGGGAGAGACCAAGCCAGGACAAGGTCATGCGGTCACCATCCTCCAGCCCCGGAGACCGGACAGCTCATTTCTCCCCTCCAGGGTGCTATCCCTTGGTCCAGTGGCGACATCAGCTTGATTGCCTGCATTAGTCCTGAAACATCAGTGTATGTCAAACGCTTGTCACTGGGCATCTGGTCCACAGCAGACATCAGCAGGTAAGCGGCACTATCATCTTGTGAGGGAAAAATGGCCATGGGCTTGGAGGAAAGAAATCAGGTGCCAGGGCCCCAGTGTAAGAGGGCACGGCTCACAGGCTGGGCAAGTGAGGCCAGCACCAGAGAGGTCTCCTTTGGTTTTGCCCGCCTCGCCCTGTCCCCTCCCTCAAGTCAGGCAGGGTGATCAATGCTGCCTGGACACCAGGACTGTGTGGGCTCAAGGTCTTGGTGCTCACTGTAGCCTTTCGTGGTCCCCATGGAGGGCACGGGTGTATCTCAGAGGGGCTGTGTCCATTGCTCAAGGTTGGCAGGGAAGTGGCAGTGTCCAGATTGAAGTGGGTGTGCGGGATTCAAAGATGACCCTCACCCACCATGCTCTGCCTCCTGCACCTCACTGCAGGGGTTGTTTCCCGCTAGGGAATGTGGGGGTGACCTGAGCTGAGAACCCCTCTGCACCCCCACTGCTGTTCTCCCCTCCTGGACCGTCTGGGGCGCCCTGGACACCATGTCCTGCCCTGCTGTTCAAACCAGCCACACCTATTCCTGGGCCAGAGAGCAGACAGCCCAAGACTGGGGACAGGGACTCAGGCCACTCCACCCGTGTTGACGCTACCAGCAGGTCTGATGTGTGCACCGGGACATCTCCTCACGGGCCAACAGGCCGGACGGCTCAGCCACCTGCTGCCCACGTGGTTCAGGACTTGCTCACCTGCTCTGTTCACTGTGCCCCGTTTCCTTCCTTCCCGGCACATCCTGTAATCCAGGGGTTTTATTCAGAGAGAGGTTGTGTTGTTTTTTTTCTGTCTCCCACTCCCAGCTCAGGACCTGCCCTGTCACGAGAGATCTGGGACATAGGACTCGGTAACTATTTGCTGCATAAGAGGTGGGGGGTCCCCCATTTACAGGGGAGGAAGTGGAAGCTCTGGAAAAGCATTTGAATCCAGAACCTGGAGACAGCCTGGCTGGCCTGCCTGAGCATTGGCCCCCTTTTCTGCAACATGCCCCTCTCAGGAGTCCCGGGCGGGTCCTAACCAGTGTGCAAAAGTGAAATGCAAGTGACAGTGCAAACAACCTGGCTGCCTGGCCCAACATCCTGCTGCTGGAGAAGGAAGCTGGGGCCTCAGGTGGCAGCTGGGGGCAGGGCAGGGAGGGCCCGAACCCAGACATTCGGTGCCTAAGGTCTTTGGGGAGACCTCCAGTCCTATGGGCTCAGGACCCCCCTGTCTGTTCTGCAGAGAAAGTGAGGCAAGCAGGTGAGGACAGACACAGAGCAGAGCTGAAACAAGGCCCCGCCGCCATGATCGGTCCGGCAGGACTGATGTGGGCACCGGGACATCTCCTCACGGGCCAACAGGCCGGACAGTTCCCACCCTGGTCCAAGCCACCATGCCTCCCCAGGAAGTCTCCCGTCACCTCTGCCCTCCTTCTGGCAGCTTGCTGCCCACAAAGCCATTTCTGCCCCTGGGCATTTGCCCCTGCTTCTCCTGAAGCCCGAAGCTAGATGCCCCAGCCATGCACTTGGCAATTGGGCTGTGCAGGGCGTCAGCCTCCATGACTCCTTATCCCCTCTCTGTTTATGTCTCTCAGCCATCTGTGTGCCTTCTTGTTTTCTGTTTGTCTCACTCCCTCAAGATCTGACCCACAGGGCAGGGGCTTTGTCTCTGTTGTTCCCCGTGTGTCCCCAGCACAGAGCAGGCACTTAATAAACATGTGTTGGGTAAGTGAATAAATCAGCTACTCAACTGAGCTAAGTGATCATGAAGGAGGACTTTATTTTTCTGAAGAGGCTCTGGCTCCAGAGTTGCCATGGAGAGCCAGTTACAATGGACTATGGGCTCCACCTTGCCATCACTTGGTCATATGGCCAGTCAACAAACACTCACTGGGCTTGGTCATACAGGAATCAGACAGATGTCCACCCTGTACCCTAAAGCTGAAACCCGTGGGTGGCTGGCTCAGCCCCTCCCAGCCATGTCCCCCACCAGCGCTGAGACCTCTGAAGGACACCACAGTGGAAGGGCTGGGGTCCCCTCCAGAGCTGGCCGAGTCTCCCCAGTAAAGGAAAGGAAGCTGAGGTTTAAATCCAGGGAGCCCATGGGGAACTCCAGCCTCTGAGGCCAGGGCAGAAGCAAATCCAGCCTTCACCCCCTGGCCAAATGGGGAAACAGAGCCCTAAGAAGCACAAGAAAGGGATTTGCCCATGGTGCCACCGAGACAGGAGCAGCGTCCCTACCCTCGGGGACTCCCCAGGGAGGGGAGAACAGCGCCAGGCCTGGAATGAGGCCGGCTGACAGCCTCAGGACTCAGTGAAGCCCAGGCCTTGACTCTGCTGCCCCCTGTTGACGATGGCTTCACACTCCAGCCAGGTCCACAGGCTGCCGGTTGGCGGAGGGTCAGACAGGAACACCTAGAATACACAGGAGTTGGAAGGTGGGAAGAGGGTCACAGAAAGGAGTAGGGGCCTGGCCTCCCCAAGATGCCACCCAGAAAGGCAGTCCTGAGAGCTCCCGGGGAGATGGGACAGCAGACAGGGTGTGGGGCACCACCTGCTGACCTGGGCAGCCACAGCCAGGGTGTGGGGTCACGGACCATGGAGGAGGTTGCTTTGTGTCACTGATTTAAGGTGGCTCGCTCTGCAGAAGCAGATAACAAAAACAGATCTCTACCCCTTTGCAGCTGTGTGGCTTTGGGTTTGTCACTGAGACCCCTGACCCTCGGTTTCTGGATGGGGTAACAGTACCCAGAGCAGAGTACTTGTGGGGGTTCAGTGAGGTCACGTGGGTGAATCACTGAGCACCTGAGACCCAGCAACCCAGTGCCTGGCACTGTGCTTGGCCCACTCCAGGCTCTTAAAGCTCATGCAGGGCCCAGATGAGAGCAGGACTCAGTTTTACAGGTGGAGAAGCAAGTAGGGAAGCTTCCCCAAGGAAATCCTCCCAATCACAATGAGGAAATTGGGGTAAAGAAAGGATAAGTAACGTATCATGTAGGTGGTAAAAGAGCTAGGATTCAAATGCCATGATGAGCACAAAATAAGACAGCTAAGCATCCTGTCACCACCACCAACTCCATCACCATCATCAATAAGAAGAAGCCCCGAGGTCAGGCAGCCCCAGACCACAGCGGACCCATCCATGCCTAGACAGGTGACTAGGATGAGTCACTTAGCCTTTCCGTGCCCCAAATCGGATTCCTGAGCATGTGAGCCCTTCCACGGCACCTCAGATGCCTCTGCACCCCCACCCAGGACTCCTGTCCGAGCCCAAGTCCTCCAGGGCTGAGTGTGGGCCACCTCAGGGCTCCAGGAGCCCAGGAGTCTGCCCCAGCCCCAGGGCTAACAGGGTGGGCATGATGTCTTCCACCGCGGGAGGCTGCCCGGTCCTCTGGACTTGCCTTCCCTTTGCTCCTAGCTCTGAGCCACTCCAGGCTGCACAGAAGAGATGGGGTGTCAGCCCAGGAAAATGAGCCCACCCAGGGCCTGGCCTCCCTGAGTCATCAGTGCCTCTACCTGGTGGCCCTCCACACTGGCCACTAGGAGTACATAGCAGTCATTAGCTCTGTGACAGCTGATCCTTAGTGTCAGCTTGATTGGGCTGACAGTCACCTGGAAAGGTGACCATGGTGAATGCCCTGATTTCTCAGTGAATTTACTCAGGAATGAGATTGCGGCTGACTGCGCCATTACAAGGAGGAGCCCAGTTGGAGACAGCATGACCCAGGCACCTTCCTCTCTTGCTCTTCCCCTGTTTCCTGGCCACCATGAGGTGGGTGGCTTTGCTCCTCCACACCCTTCTACTTCAATGTCTCTGGATCGCCATAGGCCTAAAGACAACAGAGTCAGTGACCATGGACTGAACCCTCTGTACTATAAGCCAAAATACATCTTTCCTCCTCTCAACTGCTTTTCTCAGTACCTGGTCACAATGATGACAAACACAGCCAGAGATAGCATCAGAGAATTGGGATCCATGGCATCGTTCACAGGACTACAGGTGTAGCTCAGCCAGTATCACTGAAAGAAAATAATAGTTTCAATGTTGCTCTTGATCCATGATGACAACTGACTACCTCCCAACAGCCCACTACGTCCTGGGAAAAAGTGCTAGGAACTTTCTACATCTCTGCAAGGGCTTATTGAGCACCTACTATGTGCCCAGCACTTTTCTGAGCAGTTGGGAGAGTGCAGTGACAAAAACAATGTCCCTGTCTGTGCAGAGCTGATTTTCTAGGAAGGAAAGGTTAAAAAAGAAGGAGGAGGAGGAGGAGGAGGA